GAGTTGCAAAATTTGTGATGTTAGAAAGCTGGCATATTTCTCCAAACTTTTTGTTAATGTTACAATAAAATGGTTCATTGTAAAGGCGTAGAGAAATGTAGTTATATAATAATAGATGTATGTACATATGTACTAATTTTACTTATTTACTGAATATATTATTCCGTATTGCAGATAGACCTTAATAAATTGAAACTAAATTATTATATTTAACTATATACGAGTTGATACAGCTCTTAGGCTGAGGAAATCCTCCCTATTATTATATATGTATATGTATATAATACCTATAAAAACAACTTTTCGATTTAGGATTATTAAGAGAAATGGATCAAGGAGTTGGTTCCTGGATTCTTTTTCAAAACAATGCTGTAACTATGCCCCAACATCCGTATTCGCCAGACATGGCTCCGTGTGACTTCATATTTCCAAAAGTAAATAAAAACTTAAAAGGCCGTCGCATCGCTGAAAGAGGTAAAGGCTATCCCAAAAATCGAGTTTGTGAAGAGTTTCGCCGATTGGAAAAAGCGCTAGCATAAGCGCATAATATCGAAAGATTAATGTAGATAAATGAATAAATAGTTTTTTTCCCGTTATTTTTTGAATAAAATTAGAGTGGGGGTAGCGACAGTTGGATTCATTGGGATAGGCATTTCAATAAAAATTGCTCCTTTATATACATAGCTTGGACCTCCCAAATCCTTAATAATTAAGACTGTCCTTTGAAGTATGTGCTAATGCCACTTGTATGACAAAATCAGGTGATAATAAAGGTACGTCTCAAGGCCCTGTCGGAATTAATTCTGTTGTGAATGGGACACAAACTTAGAAACTTCTATTGCATTTAAAAGAATCTCCGGTACCCAGTATGCAAGTATATGTAAATAACCACACTTATACTCTGAGCTATAGTCGCATGCTAGTGAGCATATCTAAGATTGAGAGTAAAAGATTGTGTAATTGTTTCGGAGTAGGAGGCGGTAGTACTAGAACTCCATGCAAAATAAAATTGTTTGCAAAAATCGAAACTCTAGATCTTTCTGGAACTAACTTGGTTCGTGAAAAGCACCAACTGATACGAACTGATTGATTACGAGTATTTATCCGAAGAGAGCTTGTTGAAGTCTATCCAAAACTTTTTATTTATGCTCTATGAATTTTGTCAAAATTTCCATTCGAAAGAAGTTAGTAAATATTCGAGAGTTAACTTAGGAGAAAATTTGTTAAGCATTTGTTAGCCAGAGCTAGGCATCAACCGATATAACCCTTTTTTCTGTTTACTTATTTTAATTAATTGATTCGAGACTCATGGGTGGATAATGGAAGCAAGAACGCTCACGCATAAAATGGAAGGATCATGTGTACAGGGACCTGCCTGCACTTCAGGTGTACAACCGGCATGACCTCCCAAAGGATAAAGCAACTGGCGATGTTTTGTTTTCCCGGGCGAGTCGGAGCCATAATTGTAGTGCCGCAGTAGAAGAAGAAGAGTATATGTTAACTAAAGCTAACGAATATAACTACTGCTATATCATATTAAGGAAGTTATTCGAAAAAATAATTCCGTCATACAAGTTCGAAGTGTTTGGACTTGGAACATACTTGTAGAACCATTCCCTTTGAAACTTGATTGCCGTGACTCTTTTCGAGTAGTAATTATTAATATTTGTTCATATAAAGATTTTAAATCTTTATTTCCTTTAGGTACAGTCATCATGATTGCTAGGATTTGCATCCCAAAGTTGGACATACCAATGGGTAGGACAACGGAAACAGGAAGCAAGCAATAATTCAAATGAATTTAAAATCAAATCATTACAAAAGTACAGACATATATATTTGTATATTCAAATTATGTGAGTAAGTCGACCTAGGCAAGAATATCCTGCAATAAAAACAACAATAAATCGGAGCAGAATTTGCAATGTGGCAATACTCGAGAAAAGAATATCGAAAGGGGAGTTAGAGTGTGAGAAAGTAGTTGCCAACAAATCAAGTTGTTGAAAGTTTTCGGACTCCGGGTACGGCAAAGTTGTTGTAAATTGCCAACTAAGGCGGGAGCTCCTAACCGGACAGCGGAAATTGGGCAATGTAAGGATGCATAAATTTATAAAACATACAGTAAATAACTAACTGCCTTTAAGTGTGTATGCATATACACATATTATATTATGTATATGAGAAAAAGTATTTTTGATGAGAAAAGCCGCAGACGACAACCACAACATTTCCGCTTTTAAATGCAACGCTCACATATACCGTACTTCATGCAAACTGTGTGCGTGTGCGTGTGTGCGGCCAATGAGTAGCCGCATAACGCAATTTACGTTATAGCATTAGGAGTAAAAAGTTGATTACTTCACTGACCGTTGTGCGGTTGCTGAGTTTGATTAGTGTCAACCAACTCATAAATGCCGTTGACGCCCTGCCAACACTTTGCTTAAAGCATTTGATTTTGATCGCCTGTTGCAAAGACCATAAAAGTGTGCAGAAAAGACATTTAATGTACTTCTCAGCTGTTTTTGTCACGGCATTCGTATGTATATATGTATGTAATCGATACTACACATGTGTATGCGGTCGTACAACTAATACCTAAATGAATAATAAGAAAAAACGCGGAATACGACGGCGCCGGTGATGGTGACGGACCACGCGCGCCAGCGTCTTGTTCTATAATGTTTTAACAATTATGGCATCAACTTGGAATTTCGCTAAAAGGTTGCCACCTTATCTTTAACATATTTAAATAAAATTTTACCCATTTAAAATGTGATTATAGAAAGAAATAAAATGAAAGAAAGCGATTAGACAAATTAATTGAGTGTAAGACTTCCACTAAGTCAATGAAGCCATAAAAAAATTTTGAAAATTTTAAGCTTCTCGGCAGACAAAGGACTACTTTAAGAACTGTATTCGCAAAACATCATGTTTACAAGCTAAGCTCTGGGTTTATCGTCTGTAAAGAATAAGCTTATGTACCAAGCAAGAGAGCACAATGATGCAAATGTAAAAGAAATTTTTATTTGATTTTCATTCTATCATCATCAGGAGATTTCAGCGCCGTTTGCTCAAATATCACGTGAGGTCTATTCGATAAGTTTCATTAATACGCCTATTATATTATATTATATGTATATATGAAACAAGAGGTTTAACGAGAGGTGGTGCCTCGAGGATATTGCTGTGGTCTACATACGTTTCAAGACCTTCGTTACTTTATCTTCTTTGGGGAACTCTCCTACGTGTTTAATTCCTATATATACAAGTATGTCTACTCGGACTTGAATTCTTCAAGAAATGCTTCTACCTTTGACAATTTGGCAACTCTCTGCTCACCTCTTGTAGTCTAGTAACCCAGTATTTATCGGAACATCTCAACATTGTGTCTACTGAAGTGGCAAATTAACAAAACGTTTTATAGATCTATGTCTGGTGAAGGCTCACTACCAATTAATAAAGTTTTACGGTCTCTACTCCCAAATTATTATTATGTTTACAAATTTAGCGATTTTTCTATTCTCAAAATCAATAAAGGTCTGGTACCTACTCGGCGATCTTGCGTCGACAGTTTTAACACAAAACTTTTATCAACCATTTTTCAATCCTCTAACTTGCCGTTAGCAACATTAAATGGCAGTGCTGTTCTGTTATTATCCGTCACAGTTTAAATAAAATAACTAGGCAATCAGCTGAAAATTATCACGTAGCAACATTGTCGTAAGCTTCTAACGCCTAGCACAAAAATGTTCAACTGTTACCATCAACATTCCAGGCTTATCGCCGGTTTTGCGAAGGAAATATGTGGGAAAACCACATATTTGAAACAGTTGCACAGCTGCTAGTGATGATGACTGAGGTTACTATGGTGTTAGTGGTTCGCCTGAGTGAGCTACATGCACTCAACCTTTCTATTGATTTGTCAGCTAATGCAACTCATTATCTCTGATGTATTAATCACCTAAAAATGTCTTGAAGTAATGAACTAATTACCCATAATATTAACAAATATTCAGCTGGTTAGTAATGGAGTAAAATTTTATACAACATTGATTATTGGAGATTAGGAAAAGGTTTTTCGGCAGATACATTCAGAGAAATAAGTGCAATTTTCTAACGGCGCAGAACACTGAGCAAACAATGTCGAATTTCTACGTATACCTGACCGACAACAACTGCTGAACTTTCCGTTAAATTTTAAACCTTTTTAAAGAATCCTACCTAATGACTAGAAGCCATAATGCATTCAATTAAAGCTGCACGTATAATATTGCATATACTATAGTTTAATGCCGAAAATATGTAGCAGACTTTATGGTGCATATGTCTGTCATTGCGTGTGCATGGAAACATACTCCCGAATATACTTGAGGAATGCGACAAGTTAACGCACTCAGCGCAGACCTTTTTATTCAATATGTATAATGATTTCCGAATTTCTAGCTGTCTATAATAGTCAATATTAGTGATATTTACATAAATATAGCACTGAGTATGATTGAAATCGGTCAAGACCTTGCCTTAGCCCTTTATCCCTATTACATATAATGATTTCGGTTTCACTGGTTGATTTTTTCTTTATATTGCTATCCAATATATTAAGTTTAGCTTCTTTGGTTGAGTTTATATCATATACATCATACATATCATTTCAGTTAACCTGATTTTAATAAGAATATCTCGGATATGAAGCAAACTACAGTAGCGAAGCTAAATTTGTTAACGACCTATAATATAAGTTAGTAGGATACCGAACATGATTATAATCCCTTCACGATTTCGTTGAATAAATTTAATTGAATTCTTTCGCATTATAATGTTTTTCCAATACCTAAAGGTTTTACTTCGGCGTTGACCTTTGAAAATTGCGAGAGTATAAAATGTTCGGTTACATCTAAACTTAGCCCCTTCTTACTTCTTTCTATGCTATGAAGGGTCTGCTGTTGAACTTTCAATTAGCGCCAAAGATTTTATATTCTAGATAGTTAATTTTAAAAAATGTTTGCTCCAAACTTTATTAAATTAAAGACTTTATTGGTTTCCTTCATCATCGATACATTTTTCCTCTCTAAAATTCAGTTCTATAGCGTGTGTCAACCACGTTGTGGCCGCACTACTACAACTTTAGGATACTGTTTATTTCCCTTAGCAGGGCGACGGCGATTACGACGACGTTTGCTTGTATTACGGTTACCTTGACGACGTTTATTAACACGTCTAATTATGCGACGCCTATTTCCTGCTGTAGCCGTACTTGTTGGAGATGTGCTGGTTGGCGATGTGTTGGTTGGCGATGTGTTGGTTGCTCCTCCGCCCGCCACAGCTTGACCAACAATTTGCGGTAATAGACCAGCAACTGGTGAACCATTAGAAGCAACGGCACCCAAAACACCACCATTACCACCACCACCATTACCACCTCCACCACTACCACCCCCACCAGTACCAGTGGGTGATGTAGTCTGAATGCCGCCACCATTCAAATTTATATAAATTGGTTGAATATTATTGGAGCCACTGTTTGGGCGCAGTTGTTCAAGAAAATCCTGCCCTTGTGTGATCAATTGGTTGACGTTGCTGGTGCCGGTCAAGAAGCGCAGCTCACCGTTATCAGTGTCCTTTACAAACAACGCAGCAACATGTTCCTCTGATACTTTTTTCTTGGGCGCAGCTAGAATTTAGATTAGCATTTAATTTAGCCACTTTTCGTTTATATATAAAATAATAGAGTTAAATTTACCTGACACCAGTGATTGTGTCAATGCGATTACACAAATCAGCTTCAGTAACATTTTTACTGTTATATAATAATATTATCCTTTTTCAACAATTGTCCCGCGCACTCACTCGTCAACACTTTTGTCAGCACTACACCAGCTGTGCTTCTGTTTGATGTCTGGTTGTCCATCAAAGGTTTTATACCAAAATCGTTGCTGCGTCAGTTACGGTGAAATTATTTTGTAGGCCAAAATGATAAGCAAATTTTGTAAAAATCAAAATTTTCTAACGGTTTATTTGCAGAGTGTGAAATTCTTGCGCACAATATTTCATTGCTATGATTACAAGTCACTTCTTTTTCTGAATGTTCGTTAAAGAAAGTACTCACATGCCACTTAACACTCCCCGCAAGCGCAAAGACAGCGTCACAGAATTGCCCTAAGGGCTTCAATTACTTCAAAAGAGGCAGCTGCCGTATGCGCAAAGCTTATGACAGTGATCATTATATAGGAAAAAAGTACCGTTCATAGGACAGCGCGATTGTGAGAGATTGAGTGAAGAACAGGTCTTGTTGACGACTCTTTATTTGTGTACGATACCTATTTAACTTATGTTTAACTAAGTACAAAAAATGTTTTATATAGGCATATATGTGTTTACTATACATGTACATATGTCTGTATGTATTCATATACTTAAAACCATTTATACAATTTTTGGGATTAAGCTGAAGCGCCGATCTGTTTCAAAGAATGAGTGGAGACATACATAATCGAATATAATAAACAAGAAAAAACGTTAACCTCGGTTGCACTGAAGCTATAATACCCTTCACAAAAACAAAATATTTCTTACAGGAACTTGATTTTGATCGGTTAGTTTTTATGGCAGCTATTTGCTTAGTGATCCAATCATAACAATTCCTTTGGATATTGCTACCTTACGCCAAATTTCTTCAAGATGTCTTGTCAGATACAAAAGTTTTCCAAACAAGGAAATGTCGATGTCGATTTCGACATATGGGCAGATCCTTAGAAAGGAAAAGACTTGTGAAAAATTTCAGATCGATACCTCAAAAACTGACTAGTTTGCGTATAGACAGTCAGACAGACAGACGGACAGATAGATGCACATGGCTTAAGCGACTCAGCTCATTATGCTAATCATTAAGGTATATACTTATATGTGTATTTTATAGGATCTCCGACTTTTTCTATGAGGTGTTAAAAACTTCGTGGCAAACTTAAAATACCCTGTTCAGGGTATAAAATGTAAGTATTCTAGCAATACTAGTATTTCGCACAGATTGTAAATATATGTCGAAATCACAATTCAATTTAATTTTACGACGTTTCTTGGTCAACTCTGTCGCATAATTTAAATAAAAAAGATGTAAAGGACAGACGATGCCAAATGTGAGGTATTCCAACAACTTTTTACAGTGAAAGACAAATGAGAATTCAAGATGGACGCAAAACTTTATCACTATCAAATAAAGAAAGGCTAAGCTCGGGTGTAAACGAATATTATATACTAATACTGCCCGATATATTTATACTAATGTTACATTAGAGTTTGGAGGATAGATCCATATCACTATTTTCATAAAAAATTGCAAATATTGACCTAAATAAACTGAAAAAAGTCGGAAATTACTATATTAAGTATGTTCATATATGGAGGCTAGGGAAAATACTAACCCGATTATACTTATTTTCTGCAGAAAAACAGAGAATAATCATAGAATTTCCGAATTTCATTAAGATAACTCACTCATTGACCGATATATACGATGTAAGGCCAATCGGCCCAATATTGTGTATATGGTGCCTAAGTGAAGTTTTGACCTATTATATTTAGTATTATTGGAAAAAGAAACTTTTTAAATTGCAGTAATCCATTTCACAGATTAAACGATATTTTCAGTAAAAGTTCATTCAGTAAAAAGTCCATCAAGGGCACTGGGGGCTTGAAAAGTTATAGTCCAATTTCAACACATTAATATCAAACTATTAATACAAAGTTTTGTTCCGTGTCTTCATTGTTGCTTGATTTGTACACTGTAAAGTGAAAGAATAATATGGAATTTAAAAATATACTTAATATAATATAAGGGAAGTAGGCATGGTTGTGGCTTATTTCAACTTTTTCACAATGTAACAAACAAATATTGAGGTAAGGTTATACACCCATTTTGGTTAAAGTAGTTCCCGAGATATTGAATTTCACCTAAAGGTGCGCCCTGCCCATTATCTAATATTCATGATCGTCCTATAAAGACGTTCTTAATAATCTTGGCTCTGAAATTTAATGCTTCTGACGTAAAAATTTAGTGATTTATCACATTTTTAGTATTTTTTTAATATATCCATAATAGGGTAGATATGTGGGCGTATTTATCATCCGATTTCTATACTGTATGGGGAGGGGCTAGATTCAAATTTTGGTTAGATTGTGTGTTAAAATGCCAATATAACAGTTTTTATTTGCTCATATATATGTTTAAATAAGCCGAAAATAAAAACAATTTGGTTTTTGTTCTTACACCCAAAATAAGTACTCAAAGCTAAGACTCTAACGCTAATTTTGCCGATCAGAAACTTTTTTCTATAAGTGAAAGTTCAGAATATTTGCTAACTGAGTAACTAAGTTGATTTTAGGTCTGAAGTGGAAATGATTGCAAGATTGTATTACTTTAAGTTGGGTAAAAATTTTAATCAGTTGCTCATATAGAACTCTCCAAAAAATTGTATAACGGTAACCGCTTTAAAACGTTAAACAATTTATGACGTCACGGAAGTGCATAATATGACATCTTACTACTTAAATATTACTACTACTTAATATCATACGTCTAAAGTTTTGATATAATAGTACACTCGTTAATAATCAGAATGTTTATTAAAAGGTATAGTTATGTCTCACGGTTAGCTTAAAACAACATACATCGATGGACAATGTATGTAAGTATTTCTAGTAGAGCGTACGAACATCACACGTTAAAGGAATAGATGTAAATAGAACAAAGATCCAATTTTGTCGTGATTCGTAAAAGAAATCAATTCAAACAGTACGCTTATTTGTGATTTAACCCTTGAGGGTAATGAAGTCAATATAACAAACAATAAAACTTGGAGCGTCAAGTGATCTTAAGTACAGCATTAGTATTGCCACTGTAGGCTATTCGATCTTAACCTTGTTGGCTTTGCTGAGTCTACACACAGCACCGTAATAATTATAATTATTAGAGAATATACCAGTTTGAGAAAATTCGTGAAGAGGTATACCTACATAACTCGATATATGATAGTCATCATATGCACTTTGATTGACGCGTGTATTATATTTTACTGTTGTAAACCCATTGAGAAATTAGAAACTGAGAATTTGCAGTGCGCACTAAGTGAAAATGCGTTGAAGTCTTCATTTATTGTTAAAAGTCAAGTTAAACAATATGAAAAATCATTTATAAAACCTGAATTCAGTGCTCAGTAGGGAACTTTTCCAAAAATTATTAGATTAGCACATTTTAGTCGCATAAGGACCATTGATAAAGTCCTCTGCGACCTTCTATTATCGAAAAACTCCCTTAACATCATTTTTAAAGACTAATAATCAGATTGACTTAACTTAAATAATTATATCGTGGACGGTCAAAGATATTAAGGCGAATATCCCGGGTCCACGTAATTAGAATATACTCCAAATAATTATAATAATGGTAGATTCCTTTTGGGGAATGTTTACTACTGAAACCTCAACGAGGTCAGACTTTCAAACGATGAAACAATGCATAATGTTTATAGATCAACCCTCAGACTGGATTTTAATCAGTTTCATTTTGGAGATAAGCAATAAAATTGTTTAAATTTCTTCTTAATTTAATAGCTATCAACAGAATCTTTCTCGCTTCTCCACTGAAAGGAGGCTAACATTTGATATAAGCATATCGATGAAAAAATTCCGATTGTTAAATATCCGAAAATACTAAGTCTGGACACGTCGGAAACTCTCTAGAATATAAACATATATAAATGATCAGCGAGACGAGCTGAGTCCATTTTGCCATGCCCGTCTGTTATACCCCCAATAGTCTCTCAGTTTTTAAGATATCTTTCTGAACCTATCTCCTCAAGAAGTGGCTCAACTGTCGGAACTGCCCACATCGGACTACTATAGCATGTAGCTGCCATAGAAACTGAACGATCAAAATTAAGTCCCTATATAAAAAAAACTTGTTAATTTGACAAAATATCCTTGCGAAAGTCGGCTCGGATTATTGCAAGAGGAAATGTTACGAGCTGCAAAAATATTAATTAAACAAGTAAGGAAGGGGTAAGTTTTATACTCTCGCAAAGTCAAATAGTATACTCGTTTGGCACTGGAGTCCACATATTTAGTACTTAGGGGCTTGAAGAGTTTTGGTCACAAGGTGGCATACTTTACACGTATTATTCACGCAAAGTTTTACCCCGATATAATCATTGTTGCTTGATATGCATAGTGGAAAGTGAAAGAATTAGATGGAATTGAAAATGGTGTTATATGGGAAATATGCGTGGTTGTAGTTCGATTTCGCCCATTTTCGTACATAGAAATATGAAAATAACATTATACACCGAATTTGGTTGAAATCGGTTAAGATTTTAAGATATGGGTTTTCACCTAAAAGTAGGCGGTGCCACGCAAACTGACTAATTTTGAACGCGGTTCCTATAAAGTCATCTCATACGATCCCAGAGATAAAATTTAATGCCTCTGGTGTGTTTAGTGCTTGGTTTATCGCGCTTTTAGTATTTTTAGTATCGTTATATGGAAAGTGGGCGGGCTTGTCACCCAATTTCACCCATTTTCACATTGTCGATAGAGGAGCCAAAAACATTTGTTATCAGTGAATTTTGTTATTATAGCTTTAGCGGTTTATGCACATTTTTTTACACATTTTAGCGGAGATATGCACATTAAACTTATTAGGAGCGGGACCACGCCCACTTTTAAAAAAAAATTAACTGCGGATGCCCCTCTCTAATGTGATCCTGTGTACCAAATAACAGTCTTGTATCTTATTGCGGAGCTTAGTTATGGCAATTTATTTGTTTTTGATTAATGGCGTTTTGTGGGCGTGGCAGTGGTCCGATTACGCCCATCTGTAATACCAACCG